TATCTATTAGTGTTTTTATTAGTTATACATGCATGGTTTGAACAGTCAGAAAATGTTATAGCTTGTTTACAAAAATAGCAGCTTATAGCATAATCTCTCTTAATTCCCTCTCATAAGACCCATCTACTTTTGCCTCTTAGTTGGATATATTGTTCTTTCTCTCTGTTTCTATAGAATGTGCCTGACTATTATTTCATGCTTTTTTCAGTTTCCGCTTTTATCTATTGACTTCTCATTCTGCAAGGAGAGTCATAAACAATCTTTTCCATATAATCCACTACGTTTGCCCTCATCATCTCAAAATAGTTTAACACAATTTTTATTGGATCAAAATTCAGGACATACTATGATTAAGTATACTTTACAGATGTGATATATAGGTATGTGGTTAGTATTCATTTCTTATACACATTCTTTATTGTTGATAATGATGTTATATTCCTAAAGTCAATAATTGCTTTATTGTATTAATTGTTTTGATATGTACTTAGATACATGCAATAATTTATCCTGAACTCTTTCACTACTGTCTAATATTAATTTAAAACATTGAGATGCATCAGGAAGTCTATAGATTTAATCTTCCTAAAGAATTCTCTCTGAAGCCTTCTGACCTGCTCTAGGTCTCCTTTTGTGCTTGGGGGTCTTTTCATCCCCATCCTGTTGATCCCCTTTACTTCATTATTGTCACTGGTTTCCATAAAATGTCTGGTTTCCTGAAGATCATTATTTCTCCCTCATTTTACTTATTCATTTTGGTGGTAGTAGTTTCCTCAGAGAGCAGACATGGGAAGGATATTTTTGGAGAATACATATAATCGACATCTGATTTACTCAACTCTTACACAAGTTTGCTTTGACTGGATAAAAAATTCTAATTTGAAAATAATACTGTTTTAAAATCTTGAGAGAATTGTTCCATTTTCTTCTGGTTCGTGATATTGCTGTTGAGAAAACCCAAATAGGACCTTGCATGTGACCTATCCTATGGTTTCCTGCTCATCTCTCTGAAAGATTTTAGGATCCTCTCCTTACCTTCAGTGTTTTGAAAGGTGATGATGTGATTCACTGTTTAACTCACTGTTGTGGACACATGGTAACCCTTACCAATTGGAAACTAACACATTACTGATTTTTCTAGAATTATTACAGTAATATTTCTTCAATTTGTGTGCATTTCCTCTTTCTTGAAATCTTATGATTAAAATCTTAGAACTTCTAGATTAGTTCTCTAATTTTATCTTTTCTTTACTCTTTGTCCATGTTTTGAATTCTTGCTCTAGTTTATCAATAACTTCCTGAACTTCATATTATAAGCTTTTTCACTTCTGTTGGGAATTTTTAGTTGTCTTCTTAGAGTAAATGACTAATAATTTATCTGAAAGGTCTAGGTGAGATTCTTTTTATTGCTGCATTTCATGGTGATCTGGCTGGATTACTAAACTTAAAGAATCTCCCCCATCTGTATTTTTAGGCCCTTCCACTTGGATTGGTCAGTTTTTCTAGGAGAGAGTCTTCCAATCTGCTGAAGTGTGAAGTGTACAGAATATATCTTTTAACTTAGCATTCAGAATTCAGTGTGACACTCCTAGCCCTCAACTCCTTCCGGGGTCCACAGGCCACAGACCACTTCCATAGACTAAACCTTTAATATATGTTCATTTAGGAGAGAGTGACAGAAGCAAGATTTCTGAACTGTTGAGGAAAATCGAGATCTGGCAGAAAACTAAGCAAAAATATAGACTCTCCGATAGTAATTACTGAATGAAGTTTCTACTTCCTGAAATCTAGTGTCTTTCTTTAAATTCAAGTAAGAGAACAGGGCCATTTTGAATACTGATGGCTATTTAAATTTCAAAACTTTGTTTTCGAATCATCTGGTATTTGAGAGACATGGTGAATTGTCAGAGTCAATTTTATTTTGTTAGATCCACTAAGCTCTTTTTCTGTGTTTTTATACAATCTGAAAAAAAAAATAATGTTTTCTTCTTTAAATACAAAAAAATCTCAATGTCTTTATTGGGTTAAGATTTAATTGATGTTCCTTTCTACTTTTTTTGTTTAAGATTAATGTAAGAGATATGCACTTTAATGGTACTTTTTCATCTTGCAAAAGTACATCTTGCAAAGATAGATATTACTCATCATGTATGTAAAATCTCCAAATTCAGGAAGCAAATAATATATTCATTCTTTTAACAAATGACCAAGAAAAACAAATCTTTTGCAAGATGAATTTTATCCTTTCATGTATCGGACCATGATTACCATATAGGTCAACATATCGCTATTTTTTACCTTATTTACCAGGAAATTAAAAATAGAAGTCAGGCTCAACTGTAGCACTCAGGGTATACTAGTAGAGTAACATAATTTCTCTGTTCCTTTTAAAATATTTTGTTGTAAAAAGTGCTTAATGTTTCTATTGTTTATCTTTGTTAGTTGCCTCAATTCTTTCTACAATAGGTAGAATTTAATTTTAATAAAAATATGAGTGCCAGAAGATGGACTGAATTCAGTACAGAAAAACAAGAGGTATTATTTTTATTTAAAAACAGTGTCCTTTTATCATCCCAATGATATATGTTTTTAATATAATCTAGATATTTGAGAAATTACAAGCATTTTAATGAGATGATCTTTACTTGGTATGGGCAGAGTTGACTAAATGTAGTTCAATGCTCCTTGATGACAATTCAAATACCCAGTTATCCTTTTCCTATCTTCAATGCCAATAGCACAAAAAAGCCTTTTCATAATATATGTACATTATTATAATACATAATACTGACATGGACATGGAGTTGACCAAGGCCAGAAATTTACTGCATTGCAATTCCCAAAGCATATATGTGAGATTAAAAAAAAAAAAAAAAAACAAAAACAAAAACATGGCAACACTCTACCGCATGAAAATCTTCTTTGTACTTGCTGTGGTAAAATAAGAAATTATTTGTATAGACTGAATATTTGTTCTCCATCACCATACAATGCATATGTGAAAACCTAATCCTCAGTATTGATGATATTTGAAGGTGGAGCTTTGGGAAGGTGATTCGATCATGAGAGAGCCTTATAAAAGAAGACTCAGAGAGATCCCCTTCCCTTTCCACCAGGTGAGAATTCAGTGAGAAGATGGCCATCTGAGAACCAGGAAGCAGGTCCTCATCAGACATGTAATCAACTGGTCCCCTGATCTTGGACTTCCCAGCCTTCAAAACTGTGAGAGTTAAATTTCTATTGTTTACAAGCCACCCAGTCCATGGTTCTTTGTTATAGCAGCCTGAATAGATCATGATCGTGCTTAATTGCTTGGGTATGAAAGCACTTGATCTTCTCTTAATCTTTAATTAAATAATATTGTTTTGAATCCAGTATTCTTAAAAATTTAGGCCTATCTAGACAAACATCTTACATATTTAACTGTCTGGTTTGTTTTTCCAGTCAATCATTCTTAATTTTGTCTTGATTCATCTCATTCTTTGCAATGTGAACCACAACCACCACAGGAAAAGAAAAACTCAGACTCAGCAGGAGAGATGGCAGCAAAAATTCATTTTAAAAAAATTATTATTATTAATATTGGGGACGAAGTCTCGCTCTGCCACCCAGGCTGGAGTGCAGTGGCACGATCTTGGCTCATGGCAACCTCTGCCTCCCAGGTTCAAGCAATTCTTCTGCCTCAGTCTCTTGAGTAGCTGGGACTACAGGTGCACACCACCACATCCGGCTTATTTTTGTATGTTTTTTAGTAGAAATGCGGTTTCATCAGATTGTCCAGGCTGATCTCGAACTCCTGACTTCGTGATCCACCTGCCTAGGCCTCCAAAAGTGCTGGGATTACAGGCGTGAGCCACTGTGCCTGGCCACAAAGCTCCATTTAACACTCCTGAAGGAAGCTACAGTAAAACCACCAAGAAGCACCTGAGAAAAACTAACCTATTTTCTGCTGGTAACTTATGTAAGTGTCAAACTATAAATTTTAACAGCAACAACGAGAATCTACCCCATTATCCTTATGCCTTCTATAAAGTTCTTTTCTATACAGGGATTTGTTAATTTTGTCACGAGGTGGTTTAATGATCATATAAATTACTGAAATGCATGTGTTGATCTGAGCCACATAGTTGAGGTAATTTTGTATCAGACCAAAAAAGAAATGGCTAACCAAAATTTCTTTTTAATTTGTAATAACTTTGGAGTGTCTGAAGAAAAAAAATTGTTGAGAATACAAACCATAATTTACGTTAAATAATTTTATAGATATTGATAGAATGACGCATTCATCCAAAATCTTTATTTCAGAAAAGAGTCTAACCTAAAAGGTGATATTATACTAAGGCTATAAAAACTACTTTGAACAATATGAACCACATGAAGTGACCAAATCAAAATGCAAATATGTTTTCAGCTTCATAAACTTATCAGAGATTCTCCTTCCATACTAGCAGGATCAAATTTGCTGTTAAATTTACTGAGGTTTACTTTGGGAAGATCTGACACTACTCTTAGAGTTTTCTTTTGGCTTTAGAGTGGTCATCTATCTACAGATTGAGAAATGAGAATTTTAACACTTACTAAATTATCTTTGTTTTGCTTCCTTCAAAATGATAATATATGTAGTAGGGGCATATATTAGAAATCCAGGTTGCTTGCCCTGAGCACTTTTCTTATTTGTCAGAACCTCAAGGTTATTTATAGTTAATTTGCTTCCTGATAATCTTCCAGAAACAGCTAATCCTAGATCTACAAAAGTCATCTAAAGCCTAACATCCATAGACTTAGAACAGCCGCTTAGCCAACAATATTTTTTGGAATACTGACATAGTTTAGTAAAACACATAGTTGAAAAAAATTTGCTTCTGAGATTTAACACTACGTATTCAGGTAGCATTCTTTTTCACTTTCATTGCATTTTTTAGATATCAGTTTATAAGCTTATGAATGATTGCACTCATCAGATTAAACATCAAAACAAGAATATATTGTTATGTCCAAACCTCAGATGTAGTAAGTTTCTGAGACTCAGTCCTGTAGATTCCAATGGGAACATCTCCAGTAGAAGAACACAACTTCTGATAAAGTCTGGCGTAAGTTCTGATCCATAAGTCATCCGCAGTGATTTTCATCTATAATACACACAAATTATTTACATATTAAATGTGTCAGAAATAGAAACCTAGTGGTACCTTTTCACTTCTTTATTTATTTATTTTTATAGGGGGCAAGGTCTCACTCTGTCACCCAGGCTATAATGCAACGGTGCAACCACAGCTCACTGCAGCCGCAACTGACATCCCTGGCTCAAGCATTTTTCACTTCTTAAAGGCAGAAATTATTAGTATTTGGAAATCTCCAAGTAATATTTCATACTTATCCATGTATTAAATTTATTTATTATGCATCACCAAACTTAAGAAATCCAAGTACTCAATTTAGGGCAGTATGACATTATATTAGTTCGATATCAGTAGGCAATAGAGCACTGGTAATTGACTGGGAAATGTAAAGCATATGGAAACTATTCTGCATGCTGCAATAACTGGAGGCTGCCACTGGTATTTAATGTACAGGGTCTGCTGATGTTACCAAATATAAAGTGCAAAAGACACTCTAGTACCATAATGACTTGTTCCACCCAATGTTCTAATAATGCCCATATTGAGAAAGATGAATAGTAGCATAAACATAGTGATAGAAGACAGGAAACAAAAATTGTAGTCCCCCTTTTCTTCTTGTAAATCTGAACTGTTACCAAATCATTTCATTCAGTATACTTGGACAAAGTATACTTATCTATAAAACAAAGGAGTTAAACAGCATGATCACCATTTTCCTGGATAGTATAGTATCCTATGGCAGTCTCAAATTACCAGTTAATAAAAAAAAATTCATTCAACTTTTTTGTTTTTTTGGTTTTTTTTTTTGAGACAGAGTCTTGCTCTGTTGCCCAGGCTAGAATGCAGTGAAGCAATCTCAGCTCACTGCAAGCTCCGCGCCCCCCGCCCCCCAGGTTCACGTCATTCTCAGCCTCCCAAGTAGCTGGGACTACAGGTGCCCACCACCATGCCCAGCTAAGTTTTTGTATTTTTAGTAGAGATGGGGTTTCACCGTGTTAGTCAAGATGGTCTCGATCTCCTGACCTTGTGATCCGCCTGCCTCAGCCTCCCAAAGTGCTGGGATTACAGGCGTGAGCCACCTCAACCAGCCAAATTCATTCAACATTTTACACAAAATGGCTATTTATTATGACTATTAAGTAAAAATAATATGTTTTCCCTGAAATTTTTAAAGGAATTTAAAAAATTGAAATACAACTCTGGATTCATTCACAATACAAAAAATAACATACGACATGGAAGAATTAGCAAAGTACATGGTACACAGATTTGAGAACCTTCTATCACAACAATCTTCTATTATAGAGATTCTTAACTTACAGAACAAAGAAACCCAGATCCTGGTGTAGTATCCAGTCCCAACAGAAGTCTCGTGATAGAAATCATATAATCCTTCACAAATGACTGCAATATAAACAAATGAACAATATATAAATGTATATTTATATATAATGTGTATGAGATGTGTAGAACAGCTAGAAGTGTGAACATCTTCTAAAACATTATTTCTCATATCACATTATTAACCTTCCATACAAAAGTAAATTTAATCTATCTTGTTAGCATCTTAGATAGACATGTATAGTTAAGCTGTTCATAAGGAAACACAGGAAATCATTTTTATCTAGAAATATCTAACTATGCATATATTTTATGTGTGTTATTAGGCATGATAAAAACATTTTTAGAATTTTTAAAGCAAAAACCCCAAATGAAATGGTGACTATCATAAAAATTGAAACAATTAAAATAAATTTTCAATGAAAAATTTCAGTCTTTTTTTTAGAATTAAGCTCTAAGCTAGTGAAATAAATTTCTAAACTACATTTGTTATTCATTATTGCATATTCTCTTTCCACATTCATGATAGGGTTATTTATTTATTTATTTATTTATTTATTTATTTATTTGAGACAGAGTCTTGTTGTGTCATCCAGGCTGGAGTGCAGTGGCATGATCTTGGCTCACTGCAGCCTCCACTTCCCAGATTCAAGTGATTCTCCTGTCTCAGTCTCCCAAGTAACTGAGACGACAGGCATGCGCATGGAGCCTGGCTGATTTTTGTATTTTTAGTAGACACAAGATTTCCCATATTGGCCAGGCTGGTCTCGAAATCCTGACCTCAAGTGATAGCCTGCCTTGGCCACCCCAAAATGCTGAGATTACTGGCATGAGCCAACACACCAGGACTAAAATTGAGTCTTTAAAAAATAAAGGCAGTAGCTCACGCCTATAATCTCAGCACTTTGGGAGGCCGAGGCAGGCGGATCACAAGGTCAGGAGATTGAGACCATCCTGGCTAACATGGTGAAACCCCATCTCCACTAAAAATATAAAAAATTAGCTGGGCGTGGTGGCGGGCGCCTGTAGTCCCAGCTACTCGGGAGGCTGAGGCAGGAGAATGGCATGAACCGGGCAGGCAGAGCTTGCAGTGAGCCAAGATCGTGCCATTGCACTCCAGCCTGGGTGACAGAGCGAGACTCCGTCTCAAAAAAAAAAAAAAAAAAAAAAAAAAAATTTTATATATATATATATATATAGAGAGAGAGAGTTCTAGTTCACTCTTTCTTTAGAAGTTTCAGAAAGTCATGCAATTTCCTGTATCTCTATTTATAACATAAACGTGAGGCAAAAATAAAGAGAAAGAAAAAACTACTGCTTTCTATTTCTATAGAACAGTTTTTAGAACAGTTTTTCTTCTATTTAACTTATACATTAGATTTTGTTACAAGATTTTATTTAAACAGAGGATACTGTGGCTAAAAAAATCTTAAAACTACTGGTGCATATTTGCACCCAAGCATTTGGCTCCTATTGATATAAAATCTTTAGTTTCAACACTGCTCTTCAAATAAACCATCCCCTGCAATTTAATCTCTTTGAGAGATCAGAAGTATGTGTGTGTGGTAACAGCGTTTGGAGTGGGAGGCCTGCCTCGTGTAGTACCCAGATAATATGTCTGGAAACTTTAGGGATAATAGGGGTGTATTTATTCTACTTTGCTGTGTTTGCTCCGGCACTCAACTGACATGAGCAGATGGTTCCTGACATTGCTAGAGGCATACTCATAGGCAAAATTAGCCCAAAGGTCTGCAGAAAAGCTTTAACTCTCTTTGGATTAGTTTGTTCAGTCAAGCAATTATAGAAGATAGTACATAAATAAGCAAAAAGAATGGGTACAATAAAATGCTGAAATGCTTAATTTGAGATTAATGTTATCAAATAATTTAAAACTCTACGAATATATCTTTCTTCTTAATGGAAATATTTAGAGATTGATTACTTGAATCAGAGAAAATGAAATAGTACTGCTGTTCAGTTTCTGGCAGAGACAAAAAAGATGGTATTAGTATGAACAAACATCTCTGCAAACCTGTTAGCTATGATAAAACAAAAAAGTTAACTTGGCATTCAGGAACAAACTCAATCGTTGTTAGTTGTTGCGGTCTTTTCATATTTTTCTAAAATAGACAAGAATCAGTGGATTCTTAAAATGTCCTTAGTTTATCACTTTATTGACATCAATTTGGTATTTTATATCAAACCTGAAAAAAAATGTATACCATAAGGACTGTTGTTTGTCTTAAGTCAGTAATTATCTTTTAACTTTTTTAAATCCAGTAATATGCTTGGAGTAACATGCAAAATGTACTAAAATGTATTAAATATATTAAAATTGTAGAACACTGGCACAAAAGAATGCCTGAAATAATTTCCATAGGTCACTGTTAAAAATAATATTTTTTCTTACAAAATGTTTCATAGGAGCATTTATGTCAATTATGTACATGAAATAAAATACTGAATTACTTCT